TCAGAGACTGTTACGGTTCTGTGGCGGCCTGAGTCTGTATGAGGACATCCTGTAGCCGAGCGTGGCTCTGCGTCATCCTGTAGCCGAGCGTGGCTCTGCGTCATCCTGTAGCCGAGCCAGGCTCTGCGTCATCCTGTAGCCGAGCCAGGCTCTGCGTCATCCTGTAGCCGAGCCTGGCTCTGCGTCGCTGTGTGCGCCTCGTGAATCCAACATGCGTAACCGGTGTTGTTGTTGTTGTTGGTGTTTTTCAGCTCTGCAGAAGTCGGAGAGTGACGTTCGTGCAATGAAGAAACAGGCGGAGAACCTGACACTGGAGTACGACAGACTGCTGGACGAGCACAGCAAGCTGCTGGTAACACACTGACTCCTCATATCTGATCGCAGCGCCACCGGCTGCCGAAAGCACATGCTGTAATGTTGGATGTGTACTAGACACCAGATCCCTCTGTAGACACCTTCACCGTAGACTCCGGTGGACAGAATGATAGCATCACCGCAGCACTAGACGGGCGTATCAGCCATGAGCAGGCCGTATCTTCCTCACAGTATGTTCTTGGTAACGCCTTACTTAAGGGCCTGTTACTACTCATGTTTAATCGGTATACAAAGATATAATCACTGGTGTCCAACAGACTCTAGTTCTAAGTATTCATAGTCGTATTTTTAACAACTGTAACGTATGGCGGCCGTGAGGGCTTGACCCGCTGCTACGTACTGTTCCTCTGTGATATACGTGCGTGGGCTGCACGCTCTCAGAGCCGGAGCTGCACAGAGGTAACCTCTACTGCAGTTGGTCTATTTACTGAAGGCCACAGCTGTGCAGATAGTGTGTCAGTGGAAATGCGACTAGTGGAGGTTCCGCCCACCTGTTTACTCACATTATATTTGGTTTTCAATGCATGGAGACGGGATATTTGATAAAACATAGAAATACTGAAAACAACAAGTGCAGGCATTTTGCCAGTGACGTTACTGAGAACTAAGATTAATTATACAAGTACCCACACTGATTCTAACGCCTATAAATACACACACAGGCCTGATAGAGACGGCAGCTGCTTCTGTTTGGATCCAGTTCAGACCAAAATAAATCTGCGTGTTTCTGGCGCTCTGTGTCGACTGGCTTGTCTTTGTTCTCGCGATAGCTGAGGCCGGATGCGTTCTGTTTGCAGGCTGTCGATTTGTATATTTATTAAAGCTGGGTTCAGGTAGCAGCTGTCACTGTCACCTGTTGACACTAGCTGCTGCCGATTACAGTGTCGGCTTTAGACGCTGGTTATACAAGTAAAGTCATTGGTAACAGTGAAGCCAGAAACAATCCTGCACCTTCAGGTGGTGCAAACTGAAACTGCTCTGCTTCTTAGAAGAACCACGATCCCCTGCAGAGATCCCGACAGCGGGTGGTACAGATAAAGACTGTTGGTTAAATTATTACTCTTCAATAATCAAAACGACAAGACTTCGGAAGCAGTATACGTTTCCTGGACCAGGCTCTGGCCACTTGGTTGCTTTTTTAAAATTAAAACTCACTATTCTATAGAATTTTCACTAACTCATTTTATTTTTTAAACTCGTATTTATTCATTTATGTTCCTAATTTTCTCCAAGCAATATTTTTATTGGAGGCGTTGTCTGTCCGGTCCATTCTCACGAGCGTGATGTCTCAAACGTCTGTCCCAGTCCAGTGAAGTTGACTCATTGGTGGAGACATCGAACCACAAAGTGGTATTTCTAGGTTTTCCCTGTTCTCCGTCTACAGGAGTGTCGTTTTTACAGCCCTGTTCTCTGTCTACAGGCGAGCAGTGACAAGAAATCAGACTGAGAGGCACAAAGATGTTTTCCAGCTTCTGGTCCTCATCTTCACCATAATCAGCAGCTCCTGTATCCACCTTGCCGTCCTGCTCAGCAGTGTGATGTCACTTCCTTTGGTTCAGCTGACGTTCTCTGGCTGTGGCCGGTTCATTAGACTGTCAAGAGCTTTATCAGAAGATTAAAAAAAAAAAACCACCGTTGGAATTTGTTCTGTTTTTGTTTCCTTTTCACTTTGACTCTGCTGTGTCCTACAGTCATCTTCTTTTGCATCTTTTAAACAGCATAGAGTTTTGACTTGGTTCATGAAGTAGCTGACTTTTAAATCATGATTTCTGTAGAAACAGATGTTTAGTTCAACAGAACGCTTCATAAAAATATTAAGAAATGAAGCTCAGACTAATGATGTGCACCAAAATCAAAATGTCTTTTAAGAATTGAATCTTTCAGAAATTGTCAGGTTGCAAATTTATTCTGAATTCAATGAGCCAAATGTTAAATTTGAAGTGACTGTTCACATGTTTAAGGATCATAACTCATACTTTATGAATGTTTGGACTTGCAGCTGAACGTGCACATCACTGTATGAACAAAACATCTGCATCTTGTCACCTTTTCTGTGATTTGATCAGGTATTGATTTGAAACGGTCATAACTCTGAAATGTGTTCGAGAGACATTACAGTTCCTGATCTTTGTTTTAGTGTCAATTAACTACGTTAAACAAGTTAAATACACTTGTGTGCACGCTGTTATTCATGCATATGGTGAACGATCAGAGCAGAAAGAGTGACCAGAAGAAACCCCAGTGTTGTTTTGCTTGTTCTGCTCAGGCTTCTGCTGTTGTACCTGGTGTAATACAGATGCAGCATGGATTTAGCATGTGTGTGTGATTCCCCAGCAACCCCGTCCAGAGACCAGCAGCACCAGTAAGCATGGTGTCCTCACCATAATGTTTGAGTCCAGACCCTGGTCCAGCTCATCACTCTGTGTCGTAGACCTCCACTGTTGTCTCCCAGCTATTAAACCAGTGAGCCACACCGCTGCCTTGGCGGGGGGGGCAGGTTTCCTCCTCAGGGAACACGAGGTCTGTCTGTTTCCAACAAAAGGCTCCTCAGACTGAGAACACTGTCACTGGCCTCTGCTCTGGTTGCTCCACCGGCTCCTCACTGCACTGAACGTGTTGGATGCGTTAGTCTCTGGATGGGATTTGTGCAAAATAACACACATTCAAAATCGGCTGCCTCATGCTTTAACAGCACTGTCAAGTCAAGTTTGAGTGAACTTTTGCTTTGCTTGCGACTTTGTTGGTGAATTCTGTTCATAAGTAAACGGTTAAGATTTGGTTGGAAAGGTTCGTGGCTGGGTGTTTGTTGCTTTGCTCTCCGCCAACCGACGGCTGTTATGTAGTTGTGCCGCCCATCGCTCGCCTGTTTCTGGCTCCATGTTCACTGAACACGTGTGTCACTGTTCTCTGTTCAGCTCCAGGTTTCTGTGAAAGCATGAAGGGTTGTTTGTCAGTCCACTCTGAGGTTTGCCAGGTGCTGCTGGTTTATGAAGGAGCACACACATTGGCAAGCTTGCAGCCATTCGAGGGCTGTGTTGTATTAGCAGCTGTTAAATAAATACACAGCCACTTGTCGGCCGCTCGCCCGGTTCAACTGTCCAACGCTTCAGTTTGCATCAGCTTTTGTCTGTTTTTGTTGGGGCTGTTCCTGTATTATTCTAATTCCAAGGTTTTTTTGTACTTTTCATGGGCTTTTCTTGGCTAATAAAAATATAGAACAGTACCATGGTGTTTGAGTTATTGGCCATCTCCCCCGGGGAGCCACTCCTGGTCGGTCTGACTCGGTGTAGTGGTTGGTATTTAGGTTTTATCACATTGTTTTCTAGCTCTTTCAGACACATCTATAAGAAGCTTTGATGGGGGCGTCAGCGTCAAGGTGATGATGGACAGACAAATGTAAAATCACTGTCTCCTTTAATTTGTTCCGATGAACACCAAGTCTTGGTTGGAAAACTTTAGGTCGTCAATAAACTGACTGAGGTCTGGACAAAACTGAACTCTGTGTTTGCAGGTGGATTTAATGATCCCTCAGACCAAACCTCATATTGCTTTGACGGACTGCTGTTTCCTGCGGTAAACCGTACTCATTTCCTGTTTTCTGTACCTGCACTGCGTTGTGCTTGCTTCCAGATTGTTTAGGAATTAAACTCACTATTTTCTAGGTTCATCTGAATTTTTGAGTGACAACATACGCTTGCACCACTTAAAGCACTTGTTTTGCAGAAGTTCTTGCTAACTACGAAATTTAACTTGCTACTCTAGGTCGGCTAGTTTAGAAGCTAGCTAAGCTAGTAGCTTAATCGAGAGCAATGGCTTCCCCCTCTTCATCTCCTCCTTTCTCTTGCTCGGGGTGTCGTATGTTCAGTTATTCCTCTGCCTCCTTTAGCGATAATGGTACTTGTAATAAATGTCAGATGCTAGCAGCATTGGAGGCGAGGCTCACAGACTTGGAAGCGTGGCTCCACACCATGGAGAATAGGCCAGCTAGCTATGCCCATGTAGCCGGTGTGGAGCCTCACTTCATGATTGTGTCCCACTTGTTGTTGATTCTTCACAAAAAATTACAGTTTTATATCTTTTTGTTTGAAGCCTGAAATGTGGCAAAAGGTCGCAAAGTTCAAGGGGGCTGAATACTTTCGCAAGGCACTGTAGTTCATATAGAAATTATTTGTACTAGTTGTGTGAGGGAGAGCTGAGTGGTTATGGGTTTATTAAGTTCATGTGAGTTGGACAATGGGCTTATGTACAGTCAGGTCCATAAATATTGGGACATCGACACAATTCTAACATTTTTGGCTCTATACACCACCACAATGGATTTGAAATGAAACGAACAAGATGTGCTTTAACTGCAGACTGTCAGCTTTAATTTGAGGGTATTTACATCCAAATCAGGTGAACGGTGTAGGAATTACAACAGTTTGCATATGTGCCTCCCACTTGTATTTCTCTTGTTGTTTGTCTCCATAATTAGTACTAAACAAGCGGTACAGGATGTTCAGTTGGTCTCGGCAGGAGCTGACCCATGATTATTGGACACTGTATTATTTGATGAAGAGAATGGCTGTATGAATATA